AATTTCGTTTTGATTTTTTTAAAAAAACCAGAAGTAGATTCATTAATTGCACCCAGGGTGAAAGAGTTAAAAAAAATAACTTGGGGGTCTATTTGCCAGACAAAACTACAAGGGTGGTTTGTTCGAAATAATGACACTACTGGGTGGTCTATGTGCGAGTAACCCTTAAAACAATGCAAGTGGTTATCACAAATATATGGTATACTAATCACTAAGACCATCTCCAACTTAGCGGCATTTTGGTGTAAAAAATGATTTTGTCGCTACGTGTGAGCTCCAACTCAGCCCCATTTTTTGCTGCATTTTAGCGGTGATGAACAGTGCGACGTCATATTTGGAGTCGCACTGTTCATCACTGTATTACTGTTCATTTATTTTTTATTTTTTTACCTTTTAATTTTATATATTTACAATTTGACCCCAATTGTTTTATTAAATTTATAAAACAACCCCAATAATATTTAAATTTTATAATTTTACCCCAATTGTATAATTTGGACAAATTAAGTTATTTTTAAAAAAATGTAAATAATGTTAAAATTTAAAAGACATTATTATTAATTATAATATTAAAATCTAGATATTATAAGTAAAGTCCCATGAAATATAAATTAAAAATATAAAGAGCAATCCTAATACATAATTCAAATATAAATTACATATCTGAAATACATAACATATAAAAACTGACACACATAATATAAAACTTTATTAAAATAAAACATAAGTTACAAACTAAACATATAACATTACATAAGATGGACAAGCAACTCTCAATAATCTGATAGATCAGATCTAGAGTGTCCAATATCATTGAAATAATTGCCAAAATTAGAAGCAGACCCTTGTTCTTGTTGATTTTTTTTATTATTTTAATCTGTTGAGCTCAAACGTACTCACGTACGTTTGGATCAGCAATGAAATTCAAATCTTTCATTATAATTTTCCATTCATCTCTATCTTTTTTCATAGCTATCTTTTCTCGTTCGATATCAAATGCTACTTGCCTGTCCAAGCTCGCTTTGTCTAACCTGTCTATAAGTCGGTTGTTATTTGCATCGATGGAGTCCACTACACTTGACTCATGATCATAATTTTTCCTTTTCAATTTGGCTTTTTTTACCCCAATAGGTCGTTCAGGTGGAGTAAATGATGACAGTCCAGGAGATGTTGATATAGGAGAATCCGGAGTGGGATTATCTGATTGTGACGAGTCAAAGTTCACACTTTGGGGTTGTCTTCGACCAACTTGTCTTGCTGTGGGGACATCATCTTTAAATTTTTTTTTAAAATTTAACCATATTCCAGACATGATCAAATTTAAAACTTTTTTTGTACTTTGGTTCTTGCATAAATAACATCTTTGCTCGAACTAACTGTAAATTATAGTGAACATCAAGTTATGTATTTCAGAAACAATAATAAATTTCAAAATAATAATAATAGAATACTTACAATATCTTCATCTGAAGCACCACTTGGATTTAGATTCTCTACTTGTCTCAAGCACACATTCAATTTCCTTACTTCATTACTTATTATTTCCATTCGAGAACGAACTGATCGGCTCGTACGCACCTCAAAATGCTGATCTCGAAGTTCATTGTATCTGTCCTCCACACGAGACCAAAATACATCTCGAGACTGGTTTCGACCGATAATAGGGTCTTGAGAAATATCCATGAATACTTGACAAAGGAGCACATCTTCAGTAACCGTGTATCCAGATGATCGAACCGACATTTTTTTGGTAAAAACCGGTTGGTTTGGAGATTAGGAATACTTTGAAGAAATACTTCGAATTGGATGGTTTGAAGCAGACGCCGTGAATGTTATTTATAGCCAATCCAAAAAAAATTTTGTTTGAATTTGAATTTGAATTTGAATTAGAATTTGAATTTATCAGTGGTCAACATCTGAAATTGAATCGTTGTGTACAAACTGATCAGCTTTACACATTGTCTAACATTGTTAGTGGGAATCATTTTCTAAAATCAGCTCAGCTTTACACATTGTCCAACGTTGTCAGTGAGAATCATTTTCTGAAATCAGCTCAGCTTTACACATTTTCCAACGTATATAGCTAAGCATTCATTGAATTTGAATCAGCTCAGCTTTACACATTGTCCAACGTATACATAGCTAAGCATTCATTGAATTGTGTGAAAGCTTTATATAAGTGGGAATCATTTTCTGAAACCACCTCAGCTTTACACATTGTCCAACGTATACACAGCTAAACATTCCTTGAGTTGTGTGAAAACTTTATATGAGTGAGAATCATTTTTTGAAATCAGCTTAGCTTTACACATTGTCCAACGTATACAACTAAGCAAATTTGAATTTTGTGACAATTTGATAACAGCTAGAAAACATTTCCTGAAATCAGCTCAGCTTTACACATTGTTCAACGTATACAGCTAAGCAAAGTTTTATAAATAGCATACTAGATTAGGTACATCCACATAATTATTCGTTGTTGTGTTAATATTATCCTCCATTTCTGCATACTTCAGTCATTCTTTTCTTACTTTAAAAATAAATTTCGATGCTGGAGGTCCATCATATTTATCATCATCTTTATCTTTGGATGATGATAATTTTTTGTCCAATATCATTGCAGAGATTGATGAAACCGAAGAAGTAATTTGTGAGTACATCAACAACAACATGATAGATTGATGAAACCGAAGAAGTAATTTGTGAGTACATCAACAACAACATGATCCTCGCTAACAATTTACGTCAACAAAACTACCAACACAACATGATCCTCGCTAACAATTTACGTCAACAAAACTACCAACCGATCCATGGTGGCTCGATTCCCGATCATGTAGTGATCAACCGCGATCGAGAAACTGCGCATCAGAATTTGGTCATATATTACTTTGCCGATAATCCACGTTTTGGAGAAGATATGTTTCGTCGTCGATATCAGATGTTAAGAAGTTTGTTCCTTCGTATTGTTGATGTAGTAAAAGATCATGACTATTACTTCCAACAACAAAGTGATGGACTTGGTAGAATGAGATTATCACCGTTACAGAAAGTAACAGCTATTTTTTGCATGTTAGCATACGGTCTACCAGCTGATGCTACGGACGAATACATTAAAATAAGTGAGTCAACAGTGATTGGAAGTATGACAAAATTTTGTCGTGCTATGGTGGAGATATTCGCAGAGCGGTATCTACGAACACCTAACGCTAATAATATTGCTAGGCTACTCTATATTGGTAAAAAACGTGGTTTTCTAGGAATGTTAGGAAGTCTTGATTGTATGCATTGGAAATGGAAAAATTATCCAACGGCATGGTCTGGGCAATACGCAAGACGTAATGGGTCACCAACTATTATCCTTGAAGCTGTAGCAGCTTATGATCTTTGGATATGTCACGCATATTTTGGTATGCCAGGCACCAATAATGATATCAATGTACTGGAGTCATCTAATCTTTTCTCTTATCTAGCTCAAGGTATTGCTCCTCCCGCTCACTATGTTATTCAAGGAAAATAGTATAATATGGGTTATTATTTAGCTGATGGTATATATCCAAAATGAGCTACTATTGTACAAATAATCCAACAGTCACAAGGTAGGAAGAAAAAATATTTTGCCGTGAAACAGGAAGCATGTAGAAAAGATGTAGAACGTGTGTTCGATGTTCTCCAATCTCGATTTGCAATTGTGGCAGGATCAGCACGTTTTTGGAAAAAACATGCATTACATGACATAATGACTGCTTGCATTATTATGCACAATATGATAATCGAGGATAAACGTGATCTTTGTGCACCAATTCAAGAAGTGAGGGAAGCACCAACACCAGAAGTTGATACTGTAGCAGATAAAACTACAAGATTTAATCAATTTATTGCACGTTACAGACAAATCAAGGATAAAGATGCCCATATTTCGCTTCGTAATGCATTGATAGATCGTCTATGGGAGGAATACACTAATTCAGAGAGCTAAGTGCATATTAAATTTGTAATTTTTACATTGTTGTTAATGTTTAATTATTTTCTTGTATTTTATTTTCTTTTGTGTTCTTAAATGTAATATTTTGACAATATCAATAACAAATATAGATTATTTTAGCAATCAAGTTATTTTAATTAATAAAATAATATTTTATTGTTTTATTAGTTTATTTTTTGAAGTAATAAATCATTTTGTTTGAAAAATATGTGAAAAAATAAAATAAAATTTGATATGTAAGTTAATTGTTGAAATAGTTAAAAATATAGGGAATAAAAATTAATAATATAAAAGTAGATAAAAAGAAATATTCTGAGAATATTCTTTTTTGGTGCAAAAAAATGGTACAATGGGTTGGAGATGAATTACTGTTTGATGTGACTTTTGCACCATTTTAGTACGATGGATTGGAGATGCCCTAACATCTTGCCATTCCACCAAGATAATTTCTATAAGAAATTTATCATAAAAGTAAAAAATCATCAAAAGTCAGTATGACTTTAACCTCCTCAAAATAAGTTCACCCAGAAGTCACGAAGCTCCAACAACACTAAGGGGCTGTTTGGTTGGCATTTTTTGCCCCTGTAAAGCTGTCAAAACTGACAAAACTTGTCAGTTTTGACAGCTTTACTTGCAAAAACGCCCATTTTTGGACGTTTTTGTAAGTAAAGTTGTCAAAACTGACAATTTTTGTCAATTTTGACAGCTTTACAAGGGCAAAAAATGCCAACCAAACAGCCCCTAAAAGCAAGGTGACACGTAGTCATAAAGTGGAATGTTAAAAGCTAAAGTTAAGATCAACCTCCTTCTACACCCAAATATGAAGCAAGTATGTTGAATTTTCTGAAAATTTAAAACTGTAATATATAAGATTTGACATAAGCCATCCAGAGGATAATATTTTATTAAATGAGCTATCAGATAAATTTACCCCAGACATCACCCTTCCGAAACCACTTATCTTGGATGAGGGAACCACTGTATACAATGGAAGCACACTCTATTGAAAGCTCAAAAAAGGAATGGCTTCTTACGAGAGAAGGACAAAATAAATAAATTAAAAAAACTTTTACAGACACTTAATCGTCTTGTAAGTGCTTTTTTATACAATAAAATGGGATACATTCATTGATCAAAAAAAAAAGAAAAGCTTATAGTTTGGGCCTCTTGAATAGCAAAGTGGATCATTCTGGTTCTAGGAAGGAAAAGGAGGAGGAACATAAGCTTTCATCTTTTTTTCTAGTTTTGCCTTTTTCTCTAGGGCAGATTCTATCAGAACAACTCATGGTTGGGGTTGGTTGGAAAATTTTAGCTTTTTTATCTATGGTTCAAATCATTCTATTCCTATAGGGATAATTCTTTTTGTTTGATATTTAATATGTTGGGCGCGCATGTCACGCTCCAACTAGCACCTCATATGTAGAGGCCACCATCTGGTGTTAATGGTTGGATCAAGGTCTTTGGTGGCCCTATAGAGATAATTCTGATAGATTTCTTATTGTTTTTTCAAGAATAACTCTATTTCCCCCCTATTTCAAAGGGTTACTAAGAGCATCTCCAACAGCTTCCTCATTTTATTGGTATTCTCACTTTTGGAGAATTTTGGGCTTTTTTTGGTCCAACAGATTCCCCATCCCATTCCCCAAAATAGGGATGGAGGAGAAAAAAAGAGGAGTCTTCCCCAAATCTAGGGCATTCTTCAAATATTTGGGGAGGGCTTTGTCATAAATGCAGCACGTTCTTCAAAACGGGTGGGAGGAGAAAATAAATATAAAACAATGGTAGCAATTACAAAAAAAGACATGAGGGCAGTTCCAATGCATAAGAACATCCCAAAATAGGGATGTATAATATTTTTATTATTGTAATAAATGCATGATTCTTCAAAATGAGGAAGCTGTTGGAGTTGGAGCAAAAATAATTTGAAGAATATGACTTTTGATTTCCCATTGTGGAGAAATTTTTGAGGAAACCGTTGGAGATGCTCGAAGACTTTCCCACTACAAAATTACCATACTGAACATACTCCCTCTGTTTTTCACATGAGTGCGGGGGGTTCCATAGGATGCATACTCCCACTTCTCATAAATAAAACAATAAATATCTGACTTTACAGATGCGCCTGGCCCGTGTAAATTAAATGATAAGATAAAGGAAAAAAAGTTAAAAAAAGTTCCTCGATTATGGAGTCGGAGCCCCTATGCAGCCCAGTTGGGATTAAAAATCACCTTTTCCTTTTTAAAATCTTACATTAGCATGATATTGATAGCTGTAATTAAGATTAAATTATAAGGACCTACCCATATTAAATTAAAAGATGAAATAAATACAACGGATTCATATATCTTAAGGAAAAAACACTTGAAATAAATCTAGCTATTAACACCTCAATTTTCAGTGGATCTTATGTCCAATGCGGATACGATTGGACACTAATATGTTCAATTTTCGGACTTACTTTTATTTGTGGATGGGTCCTCTAAAAAAATTGATTTATCTAAAAAGACTTCAAAAAAATTCTTTTTATAAAATTTAGATTTTTTTTTTGAAACTGAAAAACAGGGTGAGGTGCCCTGTTCATTTATAAAATTTAGATTGTTTTTAAATTAAAGAATGTTTATTGCAAAATAATTTGTTGAATAAATTTACTTGAAGAAGCAGATAAGAATAGATATGCAATAAATTAAATACGGATAAGATTTAATCACTGTTAAAAATGAAATAGTTCTAAAATTTCTTACGTACAAATTAATACCTAGCTATGAAGGATTAATTTTGGATAACGACAAATGTGCAAGACCAAGTTTTCTATAAGAGCTATTAAAATATTAAAAAAATAAAATTGTTAAAAATTCCGATAGAAATTAGGGCGCGTGAGCGTGAGCAAATAAACAAGAGAGATCAGATGGGCAAGCTCTTATTCTGTAATTAAGACAAATTAAAATGTATTACATACCTCCACCCTTCTTTATACATCATTGAGATACTACATTAATTTCTTTGGCGAAATAAGGCTCTCTCTGAAAATTGCAAAGTTCCCTCGATGAGTATATCTTATTACTCCATCGAAGAGTACGTGCGAAGCTCCACTACAAAGATCATAACCAATGACGTGCTATTTTCTTTATACATCATTGAGATGCTACATTAATTTTCCAATACAACTTGCAGGTAGTCTTGATAGTATCTCAGCCACAGCGTCAAGTGGTAGAAGAGTGCATGAACCGCGTGCTTCAGTTTTTGTTTCAGGTCATCATACAAAAATATTTTGATGGCCAGGTGCGGAGCTGAATGAGTGCCTTTGGGTTCCAAGGACACTAGTAAAAATTAAATATCTACCAGAGAGCACATATAAAAATAACAAAAGTATAGATGGTTTAGCGGAAAAGGGTCAAAAGGAACCCATCATGCGCGCGGGTTCGAATCTCGCAAGGAACCCAGCATGCGCGCGGGTTCGAATTTTTTCAGCTTAATGATAGTTTGATGGCTTATGTTGAGAGAGATGTATTTTCCACCATTACCGATGCATCTATAGGACACCATAGGATTAAAATCCTGGCTCCGCCACTGTTGATGGCAAACCATATTGGTAACTGGGATAAATTTTTATACCTGGACATTGTTCTTGATTCTTGATCTGGTGATCATCGTGTGTTTCTTCTCGGATTCGCCTTCTTCTTGTGATCGGTTGAGGGTTTTATTCTTCTCCATTGACTCTTGCTCTTTGAGAGCCCGCAACAATTTATTTATTTTTTTATTTTTTGGTTTTTGTTTCGGCCTGTAGCACGCAAAATATTTTAATTGTAAACCGTAATTATCTGAATCAATTTATTGAAAGAAGAAAAAGTAAATACCTGAGCAATGTTCTTGTTTCTTGATCTGCTCATCATTCTGCGTTTCTTCTTGGGTTCGTCATCTTCTAGTGACTGATTGATGCTTTTATTCTCCGCCATTAATTGACACTTGTTCTTTGAGCGCCCGCAACAATTTTTTTTTAAAACTTTCTTATTAAAATAGTTTCGTAGCTGGGTTAGTATATATAATTAGACAATCTAATAATGCACATCAAATAAGATTACAATCTTTTTTAAATATCGTTGTTCCTTTAAATTCTAAGTTTGTAGATTTTTTTTTTGTCAAATAAATCCTAACTTGATAGTTTACTTTTTTTAAGAATCTTAACTGAATAGTTTTCAAGTACTTTTCATATTAAAAATAGAATATTCTCACTTGACTGATTTATTTTCTATTTTAATGCCATTTACTATTAAAGAAATCTTAAATAGAAACCTAATACAGATTTGTCATGTGTACCACTAATCTTCTCTTGATATAAGAATCCTAATCAAACAAAATCTAATCATAATTCGAAAATTTTAAACAGGAAATGTTTAGGAATCAACTATGTACATACCAAATTAAAAGTAACCATAAAAACTAGAAATAAGAAAATCGAAAATTCTGTTAACTTTCTCTTTTTTAATCACATAAGTATTTAATACTTGATGCAATCAACAATTTATTGTTGGCTTATGTGATTAGTTTTGGTTAAATGGGTTTGTTTTTCAGATGCAAAACTACCTAAACTTCAAAATGTCAGCCTTGCTTAAATTTAAGAATTTAGCATCTACGTTCGTGGTTTTTTCTTATGAGATGGGTTCTAATGGAAATTGGCCTTAACAAAGATTAGGAACAAAACGCAGGGATAAAACAAGAGAAAAATGCGGAACTAGTGAATAGGAGAAAGACATTTATGATTTGTTTGGTTCAAGTAAAATTTTGGTATTTAGTGTGGATTACAAATTTTGAGATCAAAAAGTGTGTTTTTTTAGGTTTTGAGATTTCACACATGATGTTTGTTTCAATAATTTTTTTAGAATGTTGAATCCCAAAAGTTCAGAAAACACCTAATTTTTAGAATTTGTCAAATCCTCTCAATTGGAGAGTATTTGACAAATCCCATAAATGTGTATGCTCACCCCTCTTGTATGCTCACCCCTCTTTCTATACCCTTCCATTTTATGTTCTTGTGGGAGGTAACCTCACTAAGGTAAATATATACACCTCTCCTTCTTTTTTAGAATTAATTATCTTATAATTTGGATTTGAATCATACAAAATATTACAAATTGTAAGATTTGTTTTCTTATAATAATATTGAACCAAATAAAATATTAGGAATTCTAAAGCATGTATAAAACCCTATGGAATTAAAATTCTCTATGAGATAAAAAAATCCTAAAAGTTTGGCAATTGAATTTGGAAATTCTCCAATTTTCAAGTTATGGTTAGTTTTAAATTGATAGTTTGATTCCTAAATTTAGTTATTTAGAATCATATAATATTGGTTAGCTTATTTGTTTAGAGATTCTTATGTTAATAAATGATTAGTGGTAGGCATCACATCGTCCAATAGGATAGATTTACCCATTTTCCAAGTTGAGATAGTGAAATTAACGCACTGATTCATTTTTCCCACGTCCATCCTCAGAATGCTTATGGTTTCAATTGATATTTTCCTTACTTTATAAACAAGTTAGTTCCTGCTCTTGTAATGTTTGACCAATAATTTCTTCGTGTTCTTTGTTTATAAGAATAGAGAACTTGCTTGTAGTTATACCATAGAACCGTGCCTAATGTTGTATAAATTATGTACATCATGCTAATGTAATAGCTAACTATTTTGATTTGGACTCCCATGAAAGGAGAAATTGAGCAATAACGAGTAACTTCTAGGAAAAAAATTTAGGACGATGGATAATCAAATTATTTGAAGAGATGAAGAGTCAATAGGAAAGTTTAATTACAAGATATTGATGATTAGATAAAAATGATGTGTACTCAATTTAGCAATATAAGAAATTAGATAACATTAAAATATCCTTAAATTTATAATCTAAAACAGACCATTATGTAAAATTTGCAGAGTTTGGATTGTACGGATATTCAATCTCTATTCAATCTCTTTCGTAGTCATTTATTTATAGGAATCTTATGCTGATACTATATGAGAGTGGATCCTTAAAGCTTTGATTTTTGAGATAACCCCAAAAACTTATCGTCTAAATTATAAATTTACCATTAAAAACTAATTTAAAAACATATATTAATCTATACCTGTATCGTGCATTATGCAATGCACGTGTGACATACCAGTAATAATAATAATAATAAAACACGGTAAAGAGGAAGTCTTTGTGCATTACCTCACTAAGAAGACCATTATAGTTCAAGAAAACTAATGATTACTAAACATAGGTACAATATGACTATTGATACATGTTAGAAAGGGTAAATTTCACTATAAACCCTGAATTTTGGCATGTTCTGCACAAAACACTTTAAAGTTTCGTAGTTAAATAGAAAACCTAGTTATTGAAAATTATCATAAACGGCGTTAACATCATACTTCATATATATATATATATATATATATATATACTCCTTTTAAAAGCACGAGTTCGGAAAAATCTTTCTATGGTCAGTATTACCCTTAGTTTTTTTTAATATTACATTGTTATCCTAATATATTCTAATTTTAATCATTATCTAATTCCACGTGAACTATCTATAGGTTCAACAATTTAAAAAAATTATTTTGAATATTTTACTTAAATCTTAATCTATCCAAATACTAATTATATCCTATATTAACTCCATATGAACTACCTATAGCTCAAAAATATAGAAAAAAATAAGATTAAAAAATTATACATAGATAACATATTATAATACATGAAGTATTATTAAATACCCCAAAATTTTCAAAAATTGCATATAATAGCCTTAAAAGTTTAAAATTATACTAAACACCTTGAATTTTTAAAACTTAAAAACTAACATGATATCTAAAAATTTAAAACCTGTAATTAACACCCTCAACATTTTAAAAATTATAGAAACAACCTCAAAAGTTTAAAGGCTAAATTATATTTATATATCATATGTGTTTCGCTCTTGAAGCAGTTATATACCCTAAGCTACAAAATATAGCAAAAAATATCCTGAGTTGGCAAAAAATTACAAGTTGGTACCTTCTATAAACCAGTTGTGAGAATATTCTCTGAAATATTCCCACGTGATGGACCTATGACCAACTTGAATACTTCTTACCCTCATTTATTGTATTACCTACCCCCCGACAAATTAGATTATTTTTAACATCATCTTCTTCTTTTCGTGGCCTCCAACTTCATCTTCCTCTTTAATATGGGTAACAGTAGAAAATAAGAGCTTTCACTATGGGGGGGGGGGTTAATTCTTAAGGAGGGGCATTATTGTCCTTTTATGTATTTTTTAACATCCTAAAATTCAGAGATTTTAAAACTTAGAAACAGCATAGATGGATTCCAGGGATTACCATTAGGCACATAGAAATTTAAAATTAGTAAAAAAATAACTTCAAAGTTACAAAAATTACAAAAACTCTCTAAAAAGTAAAAAATTATTAAAAAATTCTAAAATTTTAAAAATTATAATAGGTACACATCAAATTTAGAAATTATTAGCAGATTGCTAAATATTTAATTTTTTTTAAAAAACAATCCAAAATTTTAGTAATTATAAAAATACCCTTAAATTTTCAAAGTTACGAGAAATATTCTAACATTTAAAAACTTATCACCAATACATAAAACATAAAAATTATAAGCGCCCAACTTAAAATTTAGAATTTTCATAAAATACTATCAAAGTTTAAAAATTACAATACATACCCTCAAAAGTTTAAATCACAAAAAGGATGAAATTTGGCAAAGAAAAGAGGAAACAGTTGATATTATTACATTAAGATATAATAGGTTAGCATTAATTGATTATAATGTATAAACATTTATCTCTAATGTTGATAATATTTATTTATAAAGTAAAAAATATAATAAGTTATGTATAGAGAAACTATCAGAAAGTTCAGAGATATTCTTTAATTTCCCCGTTTGGCAAAGGGTTAATTAAGGAAGAAGGATTAAGGAGAATGGTTAACTTAGTTAATCCATTATGAAGGGTTAAAAATATTCTAATTATGTTTGGATTCGATAGTTAAGACAATGAGTTAAGTTTTTTGTGTTTATCAAATGAAGAAGGGCTAAGGAGATTAATCTCATTATTTTTTTAAAATACCACTTTCGCCCTTAGTGAAATTTATAACTAATTGCCGCATTAATATATTTTTCGCATTATTTACCTTTTGAGCAATTTCAAAGATTTGAAGCGCTAATATGTAATTCAGTTGAGACACGAGGGATTAATATCTTTTTTGAAATAACGCTCAAATGATAATTTGATATTATTTAATAAATGATCGTTCAGAAGGTAAATAAAAATAAATTATCATTTTCGCATTATTTCAAAAGATAAAGAGAGATAACGAGCTAACAAAATATTATATGGCTTCTTATCTATCAATAAACCTGGCAAAAAAGATTTGATTATTCAAGAGAAAAAAAAGATTTGATTATTCAAGGAAAAAACAATCTACTCAATAGCTCTATATGAAATTATAAGTTTTGCTCATATAAAGATAATAAAAGACATAATTCAACCTCCTTATACTTTAATATTCAACAACTACGTATTTTAATTATTCCAAAACTGTAAAGCAATCCTGTTACGAAGCTATTCACCCCTTAAACTTTCATCTGCACCAACCATGTATTGGGGGGTCTTCTTCCTCATCCGCCTCATCTTCATCCGCATTCATCTCTAATCCATTGAGCATATTAAGTATTTATCATTTCCAAAATGGACTGACTGCAGTCCTCATTCATCATAGCTCTAATGTATGAAAGGAAATGTGCAAAGATTGAAGCAAGAATCAACAAATTTAATCATATATGAAGACCCTAAAGTATGCATTAAGCAATTCAGAATCCATTTAAATGACTGCAGGAACAATAGATTAGACGATGTGGAACCTTGAATAGATTAAACATCCAAGCTGAATGAGCAATGAATTTTCTTACAAATTATAGGATTTGATACCTTCTCTCTAGTGTCTACTTGGCATTCCATGTCACAATCTGCTAATAAGTTCAGAAAGATCAATAAAGTGAAATATATGTACCTACAAATGCCGCCATGTAACATAACACCAAATGATAGTCAATAATTGAAGCAACTCCAAAAAGGAAGAACTACAACAACACAATCAAGAGCAACACATCAGGCATTTCAATAATTGAAGCAACTCCAAAAAGGAAGAACTACAACAACACAATCAAGAGCAACACATCAGGCATTTCAGTTTGATTTACAGAGCTGCGTACAGAAAGCTAACTTCAAAATACAAATTAGAACTTGGAAATAAAACTATATGGCATATCATTGTTTTCGAGGAAAGTCGCCTTCATCATTGATTTCATTAAACTTTAGTCGTTACAAATGAATTCAAATAACGAAAATAAAAATTACAACTTTCTTGAAAATAAACACAAGATCCGTTTATCGTCTCTTGCTTGCGTGGGTCTTTGGCCTGTGATGGGGACGTCGATATCCGTGGACTACCTGGCAATCAGATCTGATCCAGAAAAATCGGGCAGAGCTTCGTCGATCCGCGAGGAGATCTAGAAGCTTGAAGCGCCTATCTCGGCTAAAACGAGATATTTGCTCTTCTTAGGATTACCGGCGAAGGGTAATGCTAAGGAACGGACACGGGTGATGCGAATATGATGAAGACCTCCCTTGTGTTGAAGCGCTCGACCACTCTTCACTGCAGCAGGGCTTCGCCAACTCTCCAAAAATCCAGATCCTCCAAAAGTGAGACCTAAGGTTCCTATTTATAGGCAATGAGGGCACCTAGGGCGCCTAGACACCCCTGGGGTGTCTAGGAAAAGCCTAGACACCCCTGGGGGTGTTTTGGAATTCCTGAGACGTCCGTGGGGTGTCTCAGAATTTCCGAGACACCCCTGGGGGTGTTTTGGAATTTCTGAGACATTCCGTTGAGGTGCATTCGTCCGCTTCCGCTGTAAATTCTTCGTCCGAACTCGGATTTGAGTGATTCCAAGTGCGTTGGAAGCTTGATGAAGAGTTCTATCTGCTCTAATAGTTGGATTATCTATAGAATGAACGAGACACGAAGGACGTTGTTCTTTTTGCAACATCGCGGGGCTCTCGATTAGCCCAGGCCTTCGTTATCCCGAAATCCTATCAGCTCACGTAGTTCGTCGATTCACTTCAATCGTTCATCGACGTCAATGCGAACTCCTGTGCGATCGCGATACGCTGACGTTTCATCGATCGCTCTGTAACACTGCACCGTTCGTCAGTAACCTATAGGGCAATTCTCGATGCCCTACAGATACCCCCTCCAATAGCGTTCCGGACTCGTTTTCTTTTATAGAAGACGCGCTGGAATACTTGCGATGTGATTTGCGTTCTTAGCTTCAGTCCGGCGCTAAGGACCTGTAGTTAGCTTCCAACTCTCTGTCTTCGTTTTCTGTCTATCGATGCTTTTGACGAATAGCCGACAGTTCTTCCTGCGCTGCTGCGTTTTATCGGCTTGGCCGTCGTCGGAGTCGTCGAGTCTGCAGTCTAATGCAATTTGAGTTTTGGCTCGTGTCATTGCAGTTGACTTTTGAACTACTCCGTCACATTGGTGTTGACTTAG